ACTTTCCCGATTCAGTCAGGAGTTTCTCAATTTTCACTCCCCATTCCTGCCTCCGGATCGTACGGATCGAAATCGGAGTAATCTCCCGATTCCACTAGGTAGGACTTAAGTAACCTTGCTATGTTTGTCAAATTGGTTTTAAGAGGTGATCGGTTTTAAGAAGGATCAATTTGGGGAAGTTACACTGTCAAGGCCTAGCTAGGTGAGTACACTGCCCAATTATCTACTTAGTGTTACCAAAGTCCAGTTAATCCTAATTGACCACTACACTTTCGAGCACACTTGTACATGGCCGATTGATCCCTACCTAATTAATGGTAGACCATTGGTCAGGACTCAGGGGTCGGCCCTGACGAATGTTGAATGATGAGGTCATTTCATAGATAATTAAGATGTTTATACTTCCTATTCGGTCAAATAACAAATTCAACAAGAAAATGGTTTGAAATGCGATCATTATGATGTAACAATATATAAGTCCTATCCATATAGCTGTCTTTAGTGGGCAACTTGAATATGATTTATCCCACTGCCAGGTCTAGATTGTGGATCAGGGTTCGCACCTTGAGACAAAGTTAGAAGCAACTCCAAATTTCAATATTGTCTGTGTGATTCTATTGGACAGGCCTGCTGAGCCAGTTTATCTGTTGTTTTTTTGTTTTCTTTTAAGCAAAATTAGAACTTACATGAAGCACTACCTTCATTTGAGAACTTGTTACTTTTTGTTCAAGGAAACTGTTTATTCCTACATTTTTTCAGATTCTGAATGAAGAAAACTTTCTTCAGTATGTAATGCATGAAAATTGGTTAGCTGATGGAATGTCTAGTTGCATTTGTTTTCATTGTTTTATTTTGATTGTATTTGAGGCTGATGAGAATTTCCCGTTCCTTCTGTCTACTATAAATGTCTGCATCTCAGTTAGACATTGTTTGACACCAAACGTAACGAAAACACAACAATTGGTTCATAAATATTCAGGAGACGTTTATTGTCTTTTAACGACCAAAACGTATGAGGAAGTTTATTTTACTGATAACTGTGGCTGTAAATAAAGTCTGTTAGGTGTTTCATAAGTTTCTTGAAGAGAGTTTAAGTTGACGTTCATTAGAAATTGTGATGTCTGATTCAATTCACCCGTCTTAGATTTTGGCATCTTTCCATTACTTAGATAGAGCTAGCTGAGCTGGCCTTTGTCTGTAGAGATTTGAGTTTATGAAAGAACAAGAATTCAAATTCCTATTATAATTCAGATTTTGATGAACATTGTGCTCTTTTGGAATATAGATTCTAATTGACTACAGACAAAAGAAATCTGTAAGTATTTAGCTTTGCAATAATGTATAGTTTTAACACATTTCAACGGAGATATCATGAACCTACCAAATCCTACCATTTTAACCTTTAACAAGTATGTTTCTATGAATCTAGACAGTTGTCACTTAAGTTGAACTTCAAACATTAATGCTATATGCTTAAATGCTAAATAATAGCATACAGTGGTTGATTTAGCTCACCTGCCAAAATATATTGATGGAGACATTTGTATAGTAGCACACTTCAGAAATTGGCTTTCAAGTTTGCAGAAATAGAACTAACTATCAAATTTCAGTCTTCATTTTCAGCTGCAGTTATTGAGATGTTCAAGCCCATTATTTCATATCAGTAATAATTACCATAACTTTAGTATGCATATATGTTAACTACATCCATCTTTGTATCCCAAAAACGAAAGATTAAAAAATCCTGCCTTTTCTTCCGGTTTCCTTTTGGCGCCGGGCTGCACGTACATAATCAGCTGAGTTCTTCAGAATTTTTCTTCGGTCCAGTCATTATATTGTTTTCTGAGTCTAATTAATTACTCAGTTTACATTTATATTACCCATCTTGTTCCATATTTTTGGCCTTTTTTAATTCCTCCACATGTTCGATTGCGCCATTTTGGTTTTACGAGAGGTATTTTGTTGCTGTGTTGTCTGCTGTGTTTGCAGCCTTTGTTCTGCAGTTATTGTTTGCTTTGGGTATGTGGGTTTTCCCTTTGTTTTTCGTGGCTTTGTTTTGTAAGTGTTGGTTGTTAGTCAAAAGTCTGCCAGCCTGCTCGGCGAGCTTCCTCCAGTTGTAAGAGGGATTCATTCTCTTCTTTCGGCAGGAGAAGTAAGCCTGCTTGGTCTTCCATTGCTGGTACTGAACTGGTCGGCAACTTAACTATTCCTGCCATGGGAGTTCCACCACCTTTGAGCAGGGGGTGGTCCCCATGTCCAGGCACGTCCTGGAGTAAGGGAAGGGTGGGGGGATGCCTTGATGCTGGGCCTGTCCTCATGACTGCAGGTCCTGATGTCAAAGATTTTTTGTCAGGGTTGTCTGTGTCCACTTGGTTTAACGACTCTCAGTTGAAATATACTCAACAAAAAAAAATGTTTGCCTGTTTCTTGGTGACTACCTGTAAGTAAGTGAAAGCAGAATGATGCTTTAGCATTATAAGAATATATATAAATGTATATAAATTTACATGACAGAATCCATGATGGTTACTAAAATCATTTAAGTATGATAGTTTGTATAAAAGCAAGAGCTGCACAAGGCTTTCAGAAACTAACTTGTATCTTCACTTGAATTTCATTAAAAAAAAAAAAATCAAACTGACACCTTGGAAGTTCAGGACTTAGAATTCCCCAAAATGTTGCTATTTAATTTTTTTGACATTTTTATGCCCCGACTGTCACAAATACAGAGGGACGGGACAATTTGTATAATCCAGGCTGAGGGGCTTGGCGGCAAGTGGCTCAGTATTTGGGCTACAGTGTTTAAAGATAATTTACCTGATGAGTTGTTTAAATCTCTGATCATCCATGATGTAAGCAACTGCAAAACAACCACTAATTAGGATGAGCATCAGTAGAAATAATTACTCTTAATTTGTACAGTAGAGAGAACAAGTACAACATTTGAGTGTCACATGTAAGCCCAAAGAGTTTCCAACTGGTTGAAAGCCTACAAATAGAAAGTGCAGCCACTGGGCCTTACACTGAACCAATTTGGAACAACGTTCTGTTTTCATGAGTCCCTGCAGAATTTTCTCTGCAACATGTTGATAAAAGGTGCTAATTGTAAAGGCTTGATGTGGGTAGCATTTGGCAAACATTTGTATTTCAGAATGGAATCACTTTGGCTGGGAAAGTGTGTCGGTTTGGTATGGTATTTGTGGAGATTTTGTTCAGATAACGGGCAGTTTATCTGGCATTCAATATCACGACAAAGTTCTAAGACCAGTAGTTCTGCAATTTGTAGGACGCCATGACAGTGGTGCCATTTTCCAGCAGGATAATGTGCCAGTGTACTCCAGTGGCATCACCAAAGCTTTCTTGAAGCTGAATAATGTGCACCTGATATGTCACCAATTGAGCATGTTTAGAACATTCTAGTTCAACATGTGAGAGAATGTCAAAATCAGCTGTTTCACTTGCAGAAGCAAGCCTAAGGCCCGAACGATGAATGGAATAAATTATATGCCTGTCTCAATGTGACAATGTTGCAATGCTGTTGACCTCCAAAATGGTGATCATACCTATTACAAATAGTGATGTTAATTTGATCCTTGAACAATGAATAAAACCAACTTTCATTTTAGGTTTATGTAATTATAGGTATGTTTCATAAATGTTTAATGTGTTGAAGATTGTACTAAACACGCCAAACATTGGTGATAATTTTAGAACAACATTAAATAGATCACGCCTGTTAACAGCTGCCACAGAAGTTATTATCTGTGATTTTAAACTTCCTTTTCGTGTTCAGATGTTTTATCAAACAGCAACGTTGCTTTCTCAAATTGGTCATTCCCAGTGGTCATTATGAAACATGTAGGAGATAGCTATATGCTGTTCCTGAAATTGAAAAGATGTTTTCCATAAAGGTTCATCGGTCAGATGGTCACAGCAGTCAAACTTCTGTTTTGGTAAAGATATTGTCAGTTATAACCGAAGCGTGACCTCATGAAGATTCACTCATCTGAGAACAAACAACCTGTTGTATTTTGCTTGATGTTCACAATGCAATAGATATATGATAAAAGATATATCACAGGGCATGGGTGTCGCACAATAAATTCTCATTGTAAATTGAAGTAAACTTTAATTTTAGTTTTCAAATGTATAAAATATTTTCTCAAAGTTATCAAATGACAGTGTAGAAAGTTATGAAAACAAAAGAAAGATGTCTATCTGTTTGTAGATTTATTTATCTAGAATTACTTTTTGCAAAAAAATTCAATGATTAAAAAAATATACAGGGGTTATGGGAGCGTTTGCCTGCTCCTACCCTATTATTGCTGACCAATCTCAGAGTGAAATATCAGGCCATGTCCAACTAAGACAAGGATGAAAGAGTCATAATGGTGATGTTCCTAACGACGTTCTTCGCGTCAATTCTGGAAGCTAAAAATGGCAACTTTGGCTGCTAGTAACACTATCAAAAGTAGCACTTTGTCTCTGCTACATCTACTTCTATTACATGGGCTGCTATTTTCTACACTTTGATACCATGGTCTAGTGTAATAAAGACTCCCATAGACAAGATAAATTCCAATTTCCAAAATGATATTACATTGACTTGAATGTATCTTGCTTTTTCGTGGTGCCAACTTCCGCAGCCACCACCAGCGATTACTTACAAGATGGGAACTGTCTACCAGCTCAAAAACAAATTGACCAATTAAATCATAGATAGAAATATCTAAACTAAAAGAAAAATCTTTTCATCCTCCCTCATTACGCTATGTCTAATACCCTTGTCATGCTTAGTCCGACATTTAACCATGGTGTATGTAGATGTACGGACAAAAAGAATCTTGTTGAACGCGGCTTCTCATACGCGAGTGAAAATCATTTATCATAGGTAAATCTTGAGTTGTTCCAAAGCAAACCATCTAATTGAAGGAAAAATACAGGTTATTAGATAACCCAACTGGTTAAACGGGTAAGTCAATCACAGTAGTCTAATTATCATGGACGCGTTGAAATTGGATGAGTTGGCAATACTGCCACTCATGGAGAAGGAAAAGCATGTGTTTGTAATTTGTTGATCAATAGATTTATATTGGCTTACTGAAAAGTACATACCAGACAAGGGCTTATACTGTAACAGAAATAGGTACAATAATAACACTTTATATTTAAGACTAAATTATAAACTTCAATTTTCACATAATGTTTACTTTATTGTCATGAGATTGGAAATAATTTCAGTTAAGACTTATGTAAGTCTGTAATCAGAGTCTGGAGTTAGAAAATTATCAAAGTTTGTATTTGATTCCATGTATCAGTCATATTGTCTACAATAAGACACTTAACCATCATTTCAGATCAGGATATATGACAAAAAAAATGTTCATGATAAGCAAACATGATTTTTATTAAATACAAGTAATTGGAAAGTACTTCCGTCTGTTTGACCTCTCTCACTTTGGCTCCTGGGTGAACAGTGGAAGGCTTGCGTCCATTAGTGCTGCTACATATAGAACCATTGATATTTAGATAAGGCAGTTTCCTATCGAAATTGCTGTGGCTTCATTGAATATCAAATTAGGAAGAAAATCCTTTATTTGTGACAAAGCAACTAGCCGTCGCGTGTGGTGATTGTTTTCTGGAATATGTAACAAATTCATAGGTTATCCTACAAGTTGATCTGTATCAGTCACAGCCGACAAGATCACAAATCTGTTGTGGTACATGTCTTATCATACGCCACTAAGGTGACGAGCTATTCTTGTTTTTTGAGGCAATTCTTGTTTTTCGATGCTGACCTCCATTAAAGGAGTATAACAGGATGGATTGCAAAAGCAGGAAATATACCTGTAAATAGGAATCAATATTTTACGTTACCATAGCCGAGTCTCTATCATGTTTTATAATGTTGTATAAACAGCTAAGCTGAAATTGTATAACTAAATTCAAGGACTTTTTCTAGAAAAGAACAAAAATGTTGAGCAGAATTTGTTCTGATTTTTCAGACAGTACAAGCTCGTAAGAAAACAGTGGTTGAGTACTGTAGTCACCATAATTAGTGCCACCCTCTTCCTGATGGGGTTATTAAAACTATGTAATTACCAGATTATCTATTTCCACTGTGTTTAGTTGTTATATAAACTGCCATCGTTGGAAATCTTGTATTGGCAGTGGGGATACCTGTCATAAAATGTTCACCTTTTGTTAACATTGTTTTTATGCTAAGAGCATTTTCAATGCTCTTCAGCATGTTGCTGTCGCCCCTGGCCCCGAGTATCAGTACTTCGTTTTCATTGGTTCATAAATCGAAAGTTTACTCCTACTCCATCTGCCGGACATTACCGTAATCATTGGATTATCGCCCCTAGAAGTTGCTGACGCTAGTCATTAAATGAAACAACCTTATCGACATTTTCTTCATTACTTGTACATCAAGAAAACGTTTTGTGTTGTGTATTAATGATAATCAGACATCGAAATTTGTAAATACAATGACAAAGACTCACGTTTTATGGTGGTAAATTTTGCGAGGCAATGCCAATATGACGGCTTAACTTACTTTTCCGCGCGATGCATTGTGGGTGTCATATATCTTTCTTTTTTTCCTTTTTCGAAAATTTTCATCCCGTTTAATACTGTTGAAAACTTTTGAAAATACTGATATATGTAGTTGAAAATAAGAATGAAACTAAAATAAGAATGATTTAGAATAGCATAAAATTTTGACGGAAACAGCCGGGGTGCTCTTTGCTGCTGGACCCTGAAAGAAGACGGCGGCAGAAAGAAGATGGCGGGTATTTTATGTAGGTAAGTATCACTTTATATATATAAGCTGAATCTAAAGTCAATACTTATACTGAACTAGCAATTGCATTTTTTGCAAAAATTCATTTGAAATGAGCTATCGCATGTATTGAATTTAGGCTCGACGGCGACGCGCAAGCTGGGCACTGCCGCCATGGCACTTTTTTCAAAATATTTTCAAGACTTTTCCTTTGAAGCATCTAGCACATTTTTGTTGCTTCCGTAAAGTATTTCAGTGTTTTGAAATGAATTTATTTTTGAATGATCGTTTCATAATGGTCTCATCGCAGTCACTTCTGTCAGTGGCCCAACAGATAGGAAATTAAACAGAAAAAATCTTATCCGTAATATTGTACCAGGGACGTATATATGTTAATATACAGGTCCCTGATTGTACTGTACTACTTACGCTACCGTGAATAGATCTAGGAATCTATCTATGTAATATATCGATTTTACTTTAAAATATCGATCACTGTCCATGCTATTGTAGATCTAGCTATTTCAAATTTCTGATCGGAGATAATTTAGAAGTACCTCAAGGCCAGGGTATGAAATCGTACGGGAACTCTACAGCTATGCTAATTGTAAGGTTTACAAGTGAAGTTATAGTTTTAGTTTTAATTTAGTTTTTGTCTTTCTGACATGATGTCTAGTTGATTCTGTTGAAGAGTGATGCATGTGAACGATTGCAATATAAAGATTGGGAATAATGAAGATGTCGATTGACATCTGAATCCCGGAAAGTGTTTTAATAAAGATTAGGAAAAACCTAGCAAAGTGTTAGGTCCCAGTGTGAATATGTAAAGTGTAAGGTCCCAGTGTGAATGTGTAAAGTGTAATTGGTACAATTCTTATTATGCCTGAACTTTTGATATATGTACTGTATTTGTTTATCTCAGAAATTTCAGTATTATGTCAACTGCTTCCACTTTCAGTTCAACACTTGATTCATCAATTTTACACAGCCCTATGCTCAATATTTGTCATTAATTGTCGACTGTTTTTAAGTGTTTTAGAGTTTTGTTTCCATGGTGAATGGAATGAAATGGGATAAATAGTCTAACAAATACCCCTCGAGAGCTTATTAAGACATTGCAGTATTATCACTTTGGGCCTTATTAAAAGTCAAATTGAAACTTTAAGAAACTCAAGTGACCATAAGTACAACAATAAGATGTCGATAATCAATGAAATTGATTAATTGAGAGGACATTTTCTTAGTACAGTTAACCAGGCTTTGTAGTGGTTTGTTCAGAACTGTAGTTCTGGTTAAGTAACCATTAATTATGTCCTTTCAGCTACAATGACATACATTTTTGAAATACCTCTACTGTAGCTAAATGTGGCATTTGTAATAGACATAGCCAAAGTTAATTTTGTGATAGACATAGCCAAAGTTAATTTTAGGATCAGTTAGGACAGCTACTGTTTGTAACAGGCATGGGTTCAATTACATGATGATGTAATTAATTAAATTACAATTACATTATGAAAATGGCATTGCCATTACAGGTATTTTCAAAATAATTAAATAACCATTACATGACGGTCCAATGTAATTAATTAAATTACACATTACTTTTCAAGTCAAAATGATTTTTGAAATACAAAGGTCAAAATTAATTATCATACTGCACAGATTTATCACGCAAATTTAATTTTATGATTCAATCTCTGTATGACCATGGTCAAGATATTATCATTTTGCTAGCTGTCATCGCTTAATAATTTGACAGTATATTTAATATAGACTCCTATTGGGAAGACTGTAAGCTTATACAGAAGTGTATATTTCTTGCACATAATCATAGCAATAATGAAATATAGTTATTTATTTCCCTTACTCTCTTTCAGCAAGTGGATGTCCCTGAAGACATGAAATCTGGAATGGTAGAAGGTATCTCTATTGATTCTTCTAAGTTGGAATTGGCTATGGTGACCAACAATGGATTTGAGGACCTTATGGTGGAGAAAAACGTCCTTCTTTCCGGCCTCCAATTAGATGTTGAAGATGATTAATCACTTGAGGAGATGCTAACAACCATGTTGCCTTTTAATGTCACAGTACTTTCTAAAGGCGGCAGTATATTTACCATCACAAAAGAAGAATAAAAAAATCGTGGAAACTGAAAAATGTGGAAAAGATCATTGTATACTGCATTTGTAGTAAATTTGCATACAATCTTCAATTTACTTGAGTAGAAAGATTCACTAGTTATACCAAGTTTGTGTAGAAAGGATCACTGTATACTGAGTTTGTAGTGTACATAGAAAGGTTTACTTCTTTATTTTTTTTCTGAAGTTAAGTGTATACAATATATATAAAAAAAACTTTTTGTAGAAAAGATCACCGCATAATGAGTTTATTGTTTACAAATGTGTAGAAAAGATCGCTGTATACCGAGTTTATAGTTTACAATTGTCTAGAAAAATCACTGTATACTGAACATAATATGACTTCTGTTTAAAACCTTCATTTAAACTTAGGCATGTATTTTTTTATGTATCTTAAAAGTCTACCTACAACAATTTTGTGTATGCAATCTTGTACTAGGATATTGACATGACAAGATTACATTGCTGATCAAAGCATGGAAAGAATACTGAATAAAGAAAACAAGATATAAGCATCTGTATCATGTATTATTATTATTATTATTATTATTTTTCCATAATGTCTGTCCACATGGAATTTGTAAGCACTCTTGTGCATTCTTATACCACCAAAAGGGTGGGTAAACTGGAATCAGGTTGTCTATCAGTCCATCCATCTGTTTGTCTGTCTGTAGACACATCTTGTCTGGACAACTCCAATGAAACTTTTCAGTAATATTTTTTTCTAATTTTATTACTTTTCATTCTGGTAGGTATTAGCGATGCAAGCTACCATGAGGCTTAATGGTTTTCAGAAGAACTTAATCTGAGAAATGGGGCATATTTCATAACCAAAATGAAACTGAGGATCCTTCATCTCATATGAGTTAAATAGTTTTCATGAAAACCAATTAAGACTCGGAGTCCAAGTTCTAAATTACTTTCAAATACAGTTGACTATTACAGAAAAAAAACACACGGAAAATTGATTGACAAAACTGACAAAGGAAAACCTTCCAACAATAACAAGTAACAATCGTGAAGAACAATAGTGCACAAGTTTTTCTCACTTTTTTAGTTGTTTACAATAAACTATAATTTAGCAGCTAATGGCTTCCCAATGCTGTACTAACATTGTATTAAAAATCAAACTCTCTCGCTATAATTCAGATGTCTTAAAAATCTTTATTTTGTTTTTACTACAGAAATATATTTCCTGTACTACTTCATCCATCCCTCTTCAAAGACCTAATAGATGTGATGATGGACAGCATCCGTACAAATGCTGCTGGTGTCCAGCTGATAATGGGACTCGAGGCTCGTGGATTTCTGTTTGGGCCAGTGGTTGCCCAGGCCCTTGGTGTAGGGTTTGTTCCTGTACGCAAGGCTGGGAAGCTACCCGGGGAGACATTCAGCATAACGTACAAACTTGAATATGGCCAGGTAAAACATAAAGAGCCGTTACCATAGTAGATAGGCCTGGATTTAGTCTGACTCTTGAAATGGCTGTATCTCGATTTGCCCACTTTTTATAAAAACAAAAATTGAGAAATGTTGTTAGAAGGATTGTAGTCTGTTTCATACTATCCTACCTGTATTTACCTGTATTTTTGCCTGTGGTTACACGTGTTCTTTACTAATGTTAGCAAATAAAAACTGAGTTACATGTATTATTATACTTATATTAAGAGGAAAAAGAAACTAGCAGAAATTTAATATTGTAAATTAAATCCTTGACATACACCCTTGAAACTTGACAAATGTGTGCATTTGAGTTAGGTCCCTATGGTACCGTATTAAAATCACTGATGCATAACTAAACTGCGCACGCCGCTTGTACAAAAGAATAAGAGACAAAAGCACGATATCTCGAACCCAGTATAAAGGATTGGTTCAAAATCTGTGTGTGCGAATCTTGAGACATATCCGTCTTGATTTCCCACATTTTAAGCATAAACAGTTCCCCATAAAAAATGCCACGACTGTCCGAAGTTGACAGGGGTTGTGCCATTGCACTTCTTATGCAAGGTATTCCGCAAAATCAGGTCGCTAATCAATTTGGAGTACATCTATCAAACATTTGCTGTCTCAACCGAAAGGGTTGCAGACCGCCCCCGAAGCGATCGCCCTCGTCTGACGACGCGTCGGCAGGATATGGCAATGCGACTTTTGCACCTACGCAATCAGAGAAACAGAGACTACGCCCATACCAACCATCTACAATGATGAAATTATCAAACTCAGATCCGACGAGTGGGATGACAACAGCGATGTCGTCAGTACCAATGCCAAACTCTACCGTGCCAGATGGAAACAGACACCAAAACTTCCCATTACCACCAGAGACATCAACCTGGACAGTATGTGGACGAGGACAACTGCCTGGAACAGTTTCTACTATTCGATGACAGAGAGGACTCTTGCATCATCAGCTTTGTAACAACAGACAACCTGTTTGATCATGCCAACGCGGACACCATCTACTGCGATGGAACTTTCCTCACTTGTCCTAAGCTCTTCTACCAAATCTATACAATCCATGGACTGATTGACGTGAAGATGTACCCACTCGTCTACACTTTACTGTTCAAGAAGACTCCACAGGTGTATACCCGATTCCTGACCCTTCTGAAAACTACGATGGCCAACTTCCACCTCCCACCTCTCCGTCCAACAACAGACGTTGAGACAGCCGCCCACAACGCTTTACGCCACGTTTTCCCTGGAGTGACCATCAAGGGCTGTTTCTTCAATTTTACACAGTGCATCTGGAGGAAAGCCCAAGAGACCGGACTTCAGCAGCTTTACAGAGAAAATGATGACATCAACAGACTTGTTCGCCTCGCAGCCGTACTGCCTCTGATACCCCTGGAGAGAGTGGACGATGTGCGGTTCAACGCACGGGAAGAACTGGAGGATGTGGACTTACCCGTAAACACTATGCCATTCACCAACTACGTTGTCACTCAATGGATTGAAGGAGACCACCAAACCTAGAACCACTACGAAACCGAGGGACCAAGCACCACCAACAACTTGGAAGCTTGGCATGGGAAACTGAAGCAGAATGTTCATCACTCGCACCCCAACATATTCAACATTATCAGAGTTTTCCAGGAAATCCAAGCTGCCAATGAAGTTCAACAGATTCAACGCCATGCAAGAGGAGCAACAAGACTCTGCGCTAAACCCTACCGAAACATCAACCACAGATTGTCTCAGCAGAAGGAGTGCCTACAGACCCAGAGAATTGACAGCATGGAGTACGCAAATGCAGCATCTCATCTTCTCCACTTAAAATAGATAACTACCAATATTTTCATTTTGATTGAGTGCATTCTGTTACGTGGAATGTAATGTGGTCCGATTTCAGCATGCATTGTATATTTCTTTGTACATATACATGTATATTGTTATTCGTTTTAATACCGTTATATATATTGTGTTCAATTTCATCATTTTACAATTATATGATAAAATTAAATGTATGTTGATACCTTTAATATATGTAAAATTTCTAAATAAGAATGTACCTAGGTATTGTGCTGAATAACATTTTATTTTGCTAAATAATATTATATATGTAACATGTAAGTGCTTAATAAAATAAATGTAAATTATGTTGAAGTTATGTATGTAAGGTGACATTTTTGCTAAATAATATTTGTGTATGTAACATGTAAGTGCTTAATAAAATAAATGTAAATTATGTTGATGTTCTGTATGTAAGGTGACATTTTGAAATAAATTACATCAAATTAATAATTTTATCTGTTTCAGTGTTACAGTAAAGTTATAAGGTATATAAGTAGCACAGGTAGAATCTCAGGTAAATGAACTCAGGTGAAATTTACAGTTAGTGTGAAACTGACTATAATTGCTTTTCTATTGTCTTCCTAAACCAACACTTTCTATTGTTTTCTAAAAAGTGGGCAAATCAAGAACCCACCCTTGAAACTTCCTGAATCTAGCTTTACCCCTGACTGTCAAAAAACTTTTCTACAAGGTACCCTGTTGAGGGTTAAATCTTTCATGAATTTGCAAGATTTTTTACACATCGTTCTTTCATGATTCATTACATTTTATTAGGTCGCCTGAACCGAAGGCTCATGGTGACCTATTGCCATCATAATTTGTCTGTCGTCGTGCGTTGTTAACTTTTCACATATTCAACTTCTTCTCAAGAACCACTGAATGGATTTTGACCGAACTTGGCACAAAGTATCCCAATGGGAAGCCGCTTCAAGAAAAGGGTGTGGCCCCAATACGGACTGCAGGAGGGGGAAAAAGGGGGTAAAATTAGGTAAATCTTTAAAAATCTTCTTCTGATGAACCAACAGTCAGATTAAGTTCCCATTTGATATTTAGGGTCCTTATGGCATGGTCTACAAAGTTTGCGAATGGAAAAAAAATGGGGTTAAAAACGGCCACACTAGGGGCGCTCAAAAGGTCAAAAATTCAACTTTGACCGATTTCAACCAAATTTGGTTGAAAGCATCCCTTAGTGAAGGACATATGAAATTATGGTGAAAAAAGTGATTATGTCCCCTTTGGGGCCCATAAGGAGTGTAAAAGGGGCCATATGTAAAAACCTTCTTTAAATGACTTCTCAAGAACCATTGGATGGATGTTGACCAAACATGGCACAAAGCATCCCCATGGGAAGCCGCTTCAAGTTTGCGAAGAAAAAGGGTATGGCCCCAATAGGAGCCCTAGGAGGGGGGAAAAGGGGAAACTTGATACGAATGTTCTACACAAGGTCCTGGCAAATGTTTTAACTTTTTGGGGCGATTCAAAATCCAAGATGGCCACCCTGGCCTCTGTTTGGCTAAGACATTATGGACTTCCTCTCAAGAACCATTGGGTGGGTCATGTTCAAACTTGGTACAGATGTTTTACACATGGTCCTGCACAAGTGTTGTTACATTTTTGCAACATTTTAAAATCCCCAGATTATTGACATATATTCCTCAGGTGACCATTAAGGCCCCTTGGGCCTCTTGTTTCCTTTGTTTGTGTGCATTTTAGTCAAATATGGAAACAATACAACAATCCAAATCTATTTCTCTGTTGTGTACCCATTCCGCATGTTGAGCAAACCAAATTCTTTGGTGTAATATTCGACAGGAGATTGTTGTTCCTTACACATATAAAATACCTTAAATCCAAATGCCTTAAGACACTAAATATTCTAAAGGTGGTGCCCCACAATGGTTGGGGAGCTGATAGAAAAGTTTTGCTAAGACTTTTTAGAGCTCTTATTAGATCAAAATTAGACTACAGTTCCATTGTGTATGGACCTGCTAGACCTTTATATCTCAAACCATTAGACACTGTCCATCACCATGGTCTGAGGCTCGCTCTCAGATCATTTGAAACCACACCTACAGCAAGCCGCTATGTAGAGGCTAAAGATATCACTATATTTGAAATACACCATTCAGCTAAAGTCAAATCCTTCAAATCCTGCTTTTTCATTTGTATTTGATCCAAAATATAAAACCTTGTTTCAAAACAAACCAAAAAGCCCATTTCACCATTCAGATTTCTGCTTTTTACAAAACACAAATATTGATATTGACTTAATTCAGTCGTTTGGAACAATAGAAATTCCACCCTGGCTCTTGAATTCACATGAAGTTGACTTTTCACTTTATGAAAAGGTTAAATCAGACATTGACAGCTGCACCTTTCATTCATCCTTCTGGAAATTGCAGTTAAAATATAAAACATTTCTATATTTACATACTGATGGTTAAGAAGATAATAATAAGGTTGCCGCAGCCATGGTTTCACTAGATGAAGCATATGGATGCGGGCTACTGAACAACGCCTCAATACTCTCGGCAGAGGCACAAGCTATCTACCTCGCCCTTAAATATATTCAAACAAAGTTATCTATTCAGACTCTCTTGCTGTACTACAAAGTCTCAGCAATAGAAATATGGTAATATATTAATACTATATCATTAACTTGCCCTTAACTTTCATATTGCTTTTTACTGGGTTCCTGGGCACATGAGAATACATGGCAATGAAAGAGCAGATCATGCCGCAAAGGAAGCTTTATCGCTACCATCTCTTGTTTTAAATCTCCATTTTACTAATTTTAAACCATTTATCAAACCTATCATCAGTGAATGCTATAACGAAAACTACTTCAGATGGGCCATACATACCTTATGCATTCATATATGTTGAAAGGTGAAGATAATCGTCGCTGCATAGGATGAGATGAGATATTTACTGTTAAACATTTTTTTATTGGACTGCACTGACCTTTTGTCTTCTCAAGAAATTTTTTATTGTAGCATTACGTGTCTAAAGACCCATTTTGAAACTGTTAAGATTTATAAAAATCAAAGTTATCTGAAACATGTTGGTCTGTATTATAGACTTGCCATTTTAATCTTTTGTGATGATATAACCATTTCAGGTTTTTAGTATTTGTCTTTTAACTTTAACTTTGTTTGATGATTTTAGCCAAACATCATCAGATGGTGGGCTATTCAAATTGCTCTGCGTCTGTGGTCTGTGGTCTGTCCGTCTGTCCATATATCCCTGCATCGTACAATTATCCATAAACAATTTTTGTTATCGTTATTTCTTGAGGAGTCCTGGATGGATCTTTTTCAAATTGCATATGCCGGTTCCCCTTGGTCCCTTGTTGTGCGCATTTGATTTTGAGACTGATAAAAAAAGACAAAATGGACACAGGCAGCCATCTTGGATTTTGACTAGTTTGTTATCTCTATTTCTTGAGAAGTACTTCATGGATTTTCTCAAATTTCGTATCTAGGTTCCCCTTGGTCCATTGTTGGGCCTGTTTGATTTTGTATCTGATAAAAAAAAAATGGCTGACAGGTGGTCATCTTGTATTTTAACCATGAAAGTTTGTTATTGCTATTTCCTGAGAAGTACTGAATGGATCTTTCACAAATTGCATATGAAGGTTTCCCTTGGTCCCTGGTTGTGCCCGTTTGATTTTGAGTCTGATCCAAAAAACAAAATGACAGACCGGCAGCAATCTTGAATTTGTTTTTTGTCGCTATTTCTTGAGAAGCACTGAATGGATCTTTCTTCAATTTCATATATATTTTCCTCTTGGCTGCTAGTTGTGTTGGTTTGTTTAATTTTGGATCAGATCAGAAGAAACAAAATGGCTTCCAGGTGGCCATTTTGGATTTGGCAGATAAAGATTATCATTTCTATTTCAGCAAGGCAATGTTCCAATGTCTTAACATTAAGAGCAAGTACAGGGAAAAGGAGGAAAAAGATCCAACTTTCAAAGAGCAAATTAAGATCAAACAATGGTGTGCGCGAAGATCCCTCTGGGATTATCTTGTTTGATATTAAGACCATAAGTCAGTGAACTATAATTATAAAACCTCAGTTGTCTTTACAATGATTAAAATACATGTATTTCAGGATACGTTTGATATAGCTAAGGATTGTGTGAAGCCTGGAGAGAAGGTGGTGATTATAGATGATCTTTTAGCAACTGGAGGTAAATAAAATATATTTTATCAAGTTTCATAGTTAGGAACATTGCACAATCAGGGTTCCAATCTATGGCCTTCCAGATTCTAGACAGATGCTCTTCCAGTTCATGCTCTGTCTATGACCCCTATATCTTAATCCATTGCTCACTTGACAAAATGATTATCCATCATCAGCTCAATAGTCTACTTCTCTAGAACGGCTCTATAATGTCGAACAGTTATTAATTTCAAGATATGATTGCCTGCCAGTACATAGGAGTAAGTCAATAGGGAGATTGAGTTTGATTATCTGAATAGACTCCATACTACTGTCCTGTTGATGAATTCAAACGAACTTTTAAGTGACCTGTAATAGTAGCCATGAAGCTCAAAACAGAAACAAAGAAATAGGGGTAAAATAGTCAGTTGAGAATAAGGGGTAAAACTTCAAATTGCATGGAAAATTCAGTGAAAGAAAAACAGGAAATATAACACTTGGATGACTTTCTTATAGGTACAATGAAGGCAGCATGTGATTTAGTGAATATGGCTGGGGGAGAGGTCCTTCAGTGTCTGGTAATCATGGAGTTGATGGATTTGCATGGACGGGACAAAGTACCAAAATCTGTGACATCACTCATAAAATACTGATGAATCAGGATCTATGAAAAAAAGGAAAAACATCGTAATGAACCATGAGATTTTTGTGTTTTACAAATTTACAAAAAAGTCATTGGTATTTTCACATTTTTATTCCATATGAAAAAAAATCCAACTTAGATACAGATAACATCAATTGCTGTTTCATTAACTAGATATTTATAGAACCACTCTAACCCTTGAAGGCAAACCTCAACCTGCAAAGAAACCTGATCAAATTGCTTAACTCTCAGCATGCCTAGTGCTTACAACTTGATGATATATATCCCAGGGTTGAGATACCCTATTTGTTGTCACAAATGTATTTATCCTTGATGTGAAAGGAGCATCCGCCATCACTATCCTAGTGTGAGACAAGGAAATTTCAAACCAGTAAAAGATTGGATGCATCTAAATCTCACACCAGTAAAAGATTGAATACATCTAAATCTCACACCAGTATTAGAGTAGATACACCTTGATCTCACACCAGTATAAGAGTAGATACATCCAAATCTCACACCAGTAAAAGATTGAATACATCTTAATCTCACACCAGTATAAGAGTAGATACATTTAAATCTCACACCAGTAAAAGATTGAATACATCTAAATCTCACACCAGTATAGGAGTAGATACATCTAAATCTCACACCAGTAAAAGATTGGATGCATCTAAATCTCACACCAGTAAAAAATTGGATACATCTAAGTCTCACACCAGTATAAGAGTAGATACATCTAAATCTCACACCAGTAAAAGATTGAATACATCTAAATCTCACACCAGTATAAGAGTAGAAACATCTAAATCTCACACCAGTATAAGAGTCGATACATCTAAATCTCACACCAGTATTAGAGTAGATACATATAAATCTCACTCCAGTAAAAGATTGGATACATCTAAGTCTCACACCAGTATAAGAGTAGATACACCTCAATCTCACACTAGCAAAAGAGTAGATACATCTAAATTTTAAACCAGTAAAATATAAGATACATCTAAATCTCACACCAGTATAAGAGTAGAAACATCTAAATCTCACACCAGTAAAAGATTGGATACATCAAAATCTCACACCAGTATAAGATTAGATACATCCAAATCTCACACCGGTATTAGAGTAGATACACCTTAATCTCACACAAGTAAAAGATTGAATACATCTAAATCTCACACCAGTATAAGAGTAGATACATCCAAATCTCACACCGGTATAAGAGTAGATACATCCAAATCTCACACCGGTATAAGAGTAGATACATCTAAATCTCACACCAGTAAAAGATTGAATACATCTAAATCTCACACCAGTATAAGAGTAGATACATCTAAATCTCACACCAGTATAAGAGTAGATACATCTAAGTCTCACACCAGTATAAGAGTAGATACACCTAAATCTCACACCAGTAAAAGATTGAATACATCTAAATCTCACACCAGTATCAGAGTAGATACATCTAAATCTCACACCAGTATAAGATTAGATACATCCAAGTCTCACACCAGTATTAGAGTAGATACATCAAAATCTCACACCAGTATAAGAGTAGATACATCTAAATCTCACACCAGTATAAGAGTAGATACACCTTAATCTCACACCAGTATAAGAGTAGATACATCTAAATCTCACACCAGTATAAGAGTAGATACATCTAAATCTCACACCAGTAAAAGATTGGATACATCTAAATCTCACACCAGTATCAGATTAGATACATCTAAATCTCACACCAGTATAAGATTAGATACATCTAAGTCTCGCACCAGTTTTAGAGTAGATACACCTTAATCTCACACAAGTAAAAGAGTAGATACATCTAAATTTTAAACCAGTAAAATATTGGATACATCTAAATCTCATACTAGTGAAATATTGAATACACCCCAATCTCACACCAGTAAAAGATTGAATACATCTAAATCTCACACCAGTATCAGAGTAGATACATCTAAATCTCACCAGTATTAGAGTAGATACATCTAAATCTCACAACCCATGAAAGATTGAATACACCTCAATCTTACACCAGTATAAGAGTAGATACATCTAAATCTCACACCAGTATTAGAGTAGATACATCTAAAGCTCACTCCAGTGAAAGATTGAATACATCTAAATCTCACACCGGTATAAGAGTAGATACATCCAAATCTCACACCGGTATAAGAGTAGATACATCTAAATCTCACACCAGTATAAGAGTAGATACATCTAAATCTCACACCAGTATAAGATTAGATACATCTAAGTCTCACACCAGTATTACAGTAGATACACCTTAATCTCACACTAGTAAAAGAGTAGATACATCTAAATTTTAAACCGAGTTCATGTAGTAGAGCCAATGCCGTGTGTTCTCGTGGGGTGGTTAGTAGTAGAGCCCGGGAGGGTGAAACCGGTAGACGGTATAATAAATCCTAGTAACTACCACTCCGCAGACTGTTGTGATTGATTCTTATAGTCTAAATTTTAAACCAGTAAAATATTGGATACATCTAAATCTCATACTAGTGAAAGATTGAATACAACCCAATCTCACACCAATATAAGAGTAAATACATCTAAATCTCACACCAGTAAAAGATTGAATACATCTAAATCTCACACCAGTATAAGAGTAGATACATCTAAATCTCACACCAGTATAAGAGTAGATACATCTAAATCTCACACCAGTAAAAGATTGAATACATCCAAATCTCACACCTGTATAAGAGTAGATACATCTTAATCTCACACCAGTAAAAGATTGGATACACCTTAATCTCACACCAGTAAAAGATTGGATACACCTTAATCTCACACCGGTATAAGAGTAGATACATCTAAATCTCACACCAGTATAAGAGTAGATTCATCTAAATCTCACACCAGTAAAAGATTGGATACATCTAAATCTCACACCAGTATAAGAGTAGATACGTCTTAATCTCACAACAGTAAAAGATTGGATACACCTTAATCTCACACCAGTAAAAGAGTAGATACATCTAAATTTTAAACCAATAAAGTATTGGATACATCTAAATCTCACACAAGTGAAACATTGAATACACCTAAATCTTACAAAATTCATAAAAAATAAATTCCCCACAAAAATTAATGAATTTTCACTATCATCATGCAATATTTCTGTTATATTCCAACTTAGGTCATCATGTTATTTACATAAGTGTTTATTCATATTGATTAAAGGGAAAACTGCATTCAGCTTTTTTTTTATATATGTTTAAAATTTATTATGTTTATGAACTTTTTCAATCAGTTATTGATTTCACTGTTATGTATCAAATGGTTTCTTGGAAACCTGGATCTTAATCTAAGGTTGACTAAAGCTACAAATGTAGCACAGGGGTATGTGGCATTAAATTTCAAAGTTCAAAACTAATTCATGTAAAAAGCTAACTTGTTTATTTACTTCTGAACTTCAAAAATTATCATTACATGCTTCTGTGCATATAGTTGTACAAACATGTTCATTAACAAAAAAATATTTCCAGCTTGTTCTTTACAATGAAAACATTAGGATTTTTACCCAAAGTTTTCATTAAAACCAAGTATATTTTATCAAATGTTATCGAGAATATTAAGATTTTTACCCAAATTGTTCATGAAAACAAAGTATATTCTATCAAATGTTATTGAGAATATTGGGATTTTTCCCCAAATTGTTCATTAAAACAAAGTATTTTTTATCAAATGTTATTGAGAATATAAGGATTTTTTCACAAATTTTTCATTAAAACATTTATCAAATGTTCAGTATAAGAGGTAAGGTATAAAGTTTTGTTTAAAAGTAAAGAGGAAAAGATGTTTTTGTTTTGTTTTTCTTGTTTGTTTATCTACAGTGGCCTTAAGTCATTCTTGATACACTTGGGGCTATGATCACCATTGCTCTCTGCACCCCTGGAACATTTTGTAGCCAAATTGAAGGGTCCATTGTGACACCTTTTCGATTAGACGAGATGACTGGTTTGATCCTTTGATGTATATTGAACAAATCTTGAGGTCGTATTACAATATGTTGTATGGACTTTGAAGTTGGGTGTCACTCCATTGCAGTCTTTAACAGAGCATATCAGTCTGTGATTGGTCATGTTTTTAATCCTGAAACTTGCTCTAGACCAATTAAATTATTTTGACTGTGCCTTCAATTCTGCAAGATGTTCCAGTGGTGCAGAGAGCGAAAGTGATTTTGGCCGCTGTATTATCTACCAAGGAAGCTGAGAAACACAACCAATATATATATAAGAGTCTGTACTGATGCATTACCAGGCAATACACTTTCCCTTAATTGCTACGGATTATGGGCCTCCTGTATGTTGTTGAGTGAATAAGCCACCAGATACTACAGGGAGAACCTACCTGAAAATGACATGGGGCAATAAACCAAAGGAAGATACAAACATGTACACACACCCTGTATAATTATATAATAAAATCAGGTTTTTTCTGTACGTCAAAATAGGGATTTAGGAGAGAAATTAGTGTTGAAAACAATTTTGATTGTTGTTATGTATAATTTTTGAAGATAGTCATCATGTATGGAAGTCATGAATTTCTTCAAAGCAGATTGCACTCAATATTTAAATTCAAAGTGATGGCAACAAAAAATGGCATCCATGTCAAGCTTTAGATTTTTGAGTGTCAAATACAAAATCAGTAATTCATGCTTTTCTATTCTGGTCGATTACAGTCATATTCAATTTGAAGTGATATTTCAAACCTTCAATATAAATTTTAGAATTAATTCAAAACACTTATATTATCAATCAAGAGATAACAAGAATGAACAATGATTGGATAATGACATTTATTATATCAATAATAGCAAAAATCATGTGGATTTACAACACAATTATGTTCTATACAGCAACGTATATACCTTGCACCAAATGTGATTTATCTTTTTCCATCTCGATGTGTTCATATCCACACACACTATCAACGAAAAAAAAAAAAAAAATATGTTCTACAAAATGTGGCATTTTGTGTGCTAAATCTGAGTTGAAGACATAGTTAACAAATGTTATTGTAATTTTGCTGGAGTCCAACATTGTTTCAGAAATATTGTTTTTTTTTTTTTTTTTTTCATACAGCATATTGTTTATTGTATTGACAGACCAAGTTTGTTTTTCTACTATCAAGGATTTTCAAGGAATGGACAAAACATTTTTTTCTTTACTTTTCCCCTCAAATAATAATAAGTATTTCAATTTCAAGATTTGTATTGACCATTTTTTTTCAATTTCTTTCAAGTAAATTCACTCATTATGTGTTTAAATATTTTAAATATTTCCATTTTCTATTGCTTAAACACTCCACGAAGACAAAAATAAAAATAAAATCTGTTTTGTTTCTTCACATGCATAAATTCATGCAAGCAATGGTACATATTTCTTTTTATACAGGAAAAGGAAAAATATTTCAGTGCAAGTTAGGAAACAAATGTTCACTTTTTTCTACAACATCTCCTACAAAATTCAAACCAGTATGCTATGGACATCTTCACAACACATCCCAATTTCATTGGATACATTTATTGTAAGTTGTCGAGGCACATGTTCCTGACTATGGCAGAACATCTTTACTTCTAGATAGCAGGCTTATATTCACACAGTAACTGATGTCAAATATTCCTGAAATCTCGCTGCTGATCTGTAAGAGATGGAGACATTTGCAGAGAATAAATGAAAAGTATTTTGAAATATTTTGGTTTTTTGACATCATTTGCCTCCTCTTAAAGCTAAAACTAAATGCAGTACTGATCCCCCCGTAACTTTGTAGTCAGCCGCTGTCTTCTCGTCATTCCTGAAAAACAAATATAATGCTTGATATATTTGAAGATATCACTTAACCAAAATTTAGTTGAATAGTCAATAATGGGAATGAGAGTTTGGAATATTTCATGCCTGAGCTTAAAAGCAGGAGTTGGGCAGCATTGTTGATCAAATTACAAAAGTTTTACAGGGAATGAGACAAGCGCATGAAATATCTTTACAGTTACCATAATTTTTGAGGGACATTCTATTACACTGCATGAACACAATCGTAATTTTACATTTACAAAAAGGAAAATTATATCTTGCAGGATATTATGAGATAAAATAGATTTTATCAGATATCACACATCAAGCTTATTCTAGGATTTTCCAAATAATTGTGATAATGTAAGATATAAAATCTTTTGTCATCAAAAATATGTCTTCTACTTACATCTGCTTTCCACTAAAAATTAACCTTTGTTGTGGAGGTGGAATACCTTCTTTTTCTTCTACTCTCTCCTTTATTCTCTCAACCTATCAAATTGAAAAATTTAAACTCAAACAAATAAAACGAGATCCCAAAGGTATCTTGGCATCCATCATTGAACCATCTTTATTGGTTTCTGTACAAAACTGATATTTTCTACACAAGTACTTTTCCCTTCTTTTTTGATAAATAAAAAGGAATCCTACACATGAAATCTAAGAAATGTTTAACAAGAAACTTCTAAGAAATAGTGATAACAAACACTGTCAAAATTCAATGATGGGTGCCTGTCAATCATTTCACTTATGTACATACATTGACAACAATAAAGTCTTTTTTTCTGCAATTAAAACTTGTACATGAAGTCTTTAACTTTGATAAATTGATGCAAATTCTTACTTCTCCAAATAATTTCAGAATCTTGGTATCTTCACCGAGCCCTTTAATAATGTTTTTTTTATACTTATAAGGCAACTTTACTGGTATACAATATGAGGACAAATGAATTTACCTTGTCTGTTGGTTCTATATCTATTTCAATCTGAAAGAAAACAAATATAGGAATTACAGCTAAGTACAAATGTGTTATACTCCCAATGGTTGTTGAGAAACAGCAATGACTTCTGAAACCCTTTTGCTATTACTATGGTATTAACATAAAAAATTAACAAGTAAATGGAAATGTTTGCCAATCACTTACTACACCCTTGTTTGTTTTGCACTTTGATGGTTCAAATTTCTGCCATTTTATCAAACATCTGAAACAGGTATGATGCATTTTTCATATTATCACATTATTTTAAGATTTCAACAACTGACAGATAGTCTCAACATCCATGGTTTCAAGAGATGCAGCTTAATGATTATTTGGAAGTTTTATGGTCATCATCATGATCACATTGGGCATTTTTTTCCTTGTGTAAAGTTGGAGGTATTTGATGCTCATTAGTATACCAGTTGGTTCCATTGATGATTATCTTGTTCACACATAATATTGCTTAAAAAGACTAACCAAAAAATGTGTGGCAGGCTGTCATTGATGAAGCAGAGGATGCTTACCCTTCCAGAACACCTGTCCTTATTCTCTTAGTATTTTCCAGGTCTCTGTGTAAATCTTTCTTTTTATTCATACTTTGCCTTAGTTTCTTTCAATTTGGGTTCAGATCTAGTTTTTCATGTTGGTGTTTTCTTTGTTGTTATCACAATATTATTCCAACCTAAGATAAAATATGATTCAAACAGGGAATCTGGGCCTTGGTGTGCCCCCTACTTCTGTAACCTTGAATATAACAACAGGATCCCAGGAAGGGTTCTGTCCTTGGCCTCCCTCCACTTAAACCTTAGATATAACAACAGGATTCCAAGAAGGGTTTTGTCCTTGGACCCCACCCAACCCCCTCCACTCCCCTCCACTTAAACCTTAAATATAACAACATGATCCAAAAAGGGAGTCTGGTCCTGGACACTGCCCCCTCCAACCATAAATGTAACAATATGATCCAAAATGGGAGTCTGATCCTGGGCATTGCTTCCTCCAACCGTAAATATAACGTGATCCAAAAAGGGAGTCTGGTCCTGGACACTGCCCCCTCCAACATTAAATATAACATGATCCAAAAAGGGAGTCTGGTCCTGGACACTGCCCCCTCCAACCTTAAATATAACATGATCCAAAAAGGGAGTCTGGTCCTGGGCACTGCCCCCTCCAACCCAACCGTAAATATAACATGATCCAAAAAGGGAGTCTGGTCCTGGGCACTGCCCCCTCCAACCTTAAATGTAACAATATGATCCAAAATGGGAGTCTGGTCCTGGGCATTGCTTCCTCCAACCGTAAACATAACATGATCCAAAAAGGGAGTCTGGTCCTGGGCACTGCCCCCTCCAACATTAAATATAACATGATCCAAAAAAGAGAGTCTGGTCCTGGGCACTGCCCCCTCCAACCTTAAATGTAACAATATGATCCAAAATGGGAGTCTGGTCCTGGGCATTGCTTCCTCCAACCGTAAATATAACGTGATCCAAAAAGGGAGTCTGGTCCTGGACACTGCCCCCTCCAACCTTAAATATAACATGATCCAAAAAGAGAGTCTGGCCCTGCACACTGCCCTCTCAAACCATAAATATAACATGATCCAAAAAGGGAGTCTGGTCCTGGACACTGCCCCCTCCAACCGTAAATATAACATGATCCAAAAAGGGAGTCTGGTCCTGGGCACTGCCACCTCCAACTGTAAATATAACATGATCCAAAAAGGGAGTCTGGCTCTGGACACTGCCCCCTCCAACCTTAAATATAACATGATCCAAAAAGGGAGTCTGGTCCTTGACACTGCCCCCTCCAACCGTAAATATAACATGATCCAAAAAGGGAGTCTGGTCCTGGGCACTGCCCCCTCCAACATTAAATATAACATGATCCAAAAAAGAGAGTCTGGTCCTGGACACTGACCCCTGCCACCTTAAATATAACAACATTATCCAAAAAGGGAGTCTGGTCCTGCACACTGCCCCCTCCAACATTAAATATAATATGATCCAAAACGGGAGTCTGGTCCTGCACACTGCCCCTCCAACCTTAAAGAGTACCCTGAGAGGTCAGCTATATTGACCTTGAAAAATAGTTCTGCACATAAAATACACTATGCCGAAAACGCGAATGCCGTGGAATGTTACGTTACTGAGAAATTGCGACTTTTCTGAAAAACACACCTTTGGCTGAGAGGCGTTGACCTCGTTCTCGGGCACCCAAACCTGTGACGTCATAAGTTCAACGCTTTTGTTGATGCAGCCATATTGTCTTTACTGTGCTACATGTGATTGTGATCTATTTTGGGATTTTCCGTGGTAATTTCTTTGTTTATTTACGTGAAAGTACTTCACATCTTCGCAATATCTAATGGCGTGAACGAGGGGTCAGTGAATTAGCGGTTAAATCCGCTAAAATGGCTTCCTATCGAGGAGGGAAGCGGTGTGTATGGTTGTCCTAACTCTAACACGGATGGGGTGTCGATGCATGACGTCGATAAATAAAACTGATTGTTGATTAAATAAAGTATATTTGTTATTAATTCTACAACTAAACATTTTAAATTGATAGGCTAGCCTATGACTTGGGCGGTCATAGGAATATTATTCCTTCGTAATCGTGAACGCCTAATACTCGGAGAAGGCCTAGTCGTGAATGGGTCACGGGAATTTTCACCCCAAGAATTTTCATACTACTATTATATAGTATAGAATAGAATTATTAGAATTTATAGAATAGGTTATGTGTGTATGTTGTTTGTATAAGGTGTATTTGGTTTTTAGATCTTCCAGCAGACGATGTTGTTTAGTTATTAATTTTGCAATCGTAAAAATAACAATAAGATCACCAATCTTGATTTGAAAACACAGTTCACAGTGTAGAGATGTCATCTAAACTCATAATCACACCTGTGCCAGGTTAGGTAATTAGCACCTCTGTGGCTGGAAAAAACAATTGTGACACCTGTGAGGCGACACGCCTGTCGGCTAACAACAGACCCGTACCAGTGCTAGGGTAAAAACCAGTCAAATAATTGTTTAAACTTCTAAAACATCAAATTTTTATCATTAACACAGCGGAGGGTGTTATAATTGGTTGTTGACACCCTATCTATATATATATCCATAGTGGTACGAAAATTCCCTGGAAAGAAAAATTCCCCTCGGACAAAACTTCTTCGGTAAGAAAATTCACGACACCTCGTGAATGTATGCATAGTCTTGCACAAACGCGATTGCCCGACGTCAGAAATTGTTGATCGAGATTTGAAGATAGTAAAATTAGTCCAAAACCACACCCAATTTTATTTTGTTTCTTTGAAACGACGATTCACTGTTCGACTACTTTCACGACTACTGGTGAGACCCAGTGAAGTACGTGCCAATCTATGTTGCCCAAGCGATCGTCACTTTTCGAAGGGTCATTTTCCTCCTCACTGGATACATCGTCTTGTAATTCCAGTTCAAATCGGTAGGGCTGGATTCCGTCTTCAGACATATCATTCACACCATAATCAGACTCCTCAAAACTCATGCTCAAATCGCTCTCAGTTGCGGTGTCGTTGTCAGTGTCAGTCATGATGACTGCCATTTCTGTTGAACTTATGACGTCATGAGTAGAAGAGCCTCGATTCCGCGGAAATGACGATTCGGCTGATTAGGTCTGGGCGGACAGGTTAAAATCGACAACTTTGAGCTTTAGTAACTCACCACTGGGGCGACGGATTTTGATGGGGTTTTCATTATTATTATTTTTACGGCATTCTTAACATTATATCTAAATATAAAATTACTCTCAGGGTACACTTTAATTATAACATGATCCAAAATGGGAGTCTGGTCCTGGACACTGCCCCCTCCAACCGTCAATATAACATGATCCAAAAAGGGAGTCTGGTCCTGGGCACTGCCCCCTCCAACCGTTAATATAACATGATCCAAAAAGGGAGTCTGGCCCTGCACACTGCCCTCTCAAACCGTAAATATAACATGATCCAAAAAGGGAATCTGGTCCTGGGCACTGCCACCTCCAACCGTAAATATAACATGATCCAAAAAGGGAGTCTGGCTCTGGACACTGCCTCCTGCCACCTTAAATAAAACATGATCCAAAAAGGGAGTCTGATCCTGGGCACTGCCCCCTCCAACCTTAAATATAACATGATCCAAAAAAGAGAGTCTGGTCCTGGACACTGCCCCCTGCCACCTTAAATATAACATGATCCAAAATGGGAGTCTTGACCTGGACACTGCCCCCTCCAACATTAAATATAACATGATCCAAAAAGGGAGTCTGGTCCTGGACACTGCCCCCTCCAACCATAAATATAACATGATCCAAAAAGGGAGTCTGGTCCTGGACACTGCCCCCTCAAACCGTAAATATAACATGATCCAAAAAGGGAGTCTGGTCCTGGACACTGCCCCCTCCAACCGTAAATATAACATGATCCAAAAAGGGAGTCTGGTCATGGACACTGCCCCCTCCAACCTTAAATATAACAATATGATCCAAAATGGGAGTCTGGTCCTGGGCATTGCTTCCTCCAACCGTAAATATAACATGATCCAAAAAGGGAGTCTGGTCCTGGACACTGCCCCCTCCAACTGTCAATATAACATGATCCAAAAAGGGAGTCTGGTCCTGGACACTGCCCCCTCCAACATTAAATATAACGTGATCCAAAAAGGGAGTCTGGTCCTGGACACTGCCCCCTCCAACCGTCAATATAACATGATCCAAAAAGGGAGTCTGGTCCTGGGCACTGCCCCCTCCAACCATCAATATAACATGATCCAAAAAGGGAGTCTGGTCCTGGGCACTGCCCCCTCCAACCGTAAATATAACATGATCCAAAAAGGGAGTCTGGTCCTGGACACTGCCCCATCCAACCTTAAATATAATGTGATCCAAAAAGGGAATCTGGTCCTGGACAATGCCCCCTCCAACCGTCAATATAACATGATCCAAAAAGGGAGTCTGGTCCTGGGCACTGCCCCCCCCCCAAC